TGGGACAGAACAGCTCACGTATACCATTTAGGGCTGGTTTCGGTTGAAAATCTAAATAACAATGACTTAGACAAATAAGATTTCCCTACTGTATATATGAGGTCTGAAGGTAAGCAGAGCAGGGTCAGGACAGCCACCCCACAGTCATTGGGTCTCAGTCTTCTCCTAGTGTGTTCCTCCACCATCTTCAATACATAGCTTCCTATGTGGTCCAAGATGGCTGCTTAAGCATCGTTTATCACAACTGTATTCCAGCCAAGAAGGAAAGAAGGGTACCTGTTTTGAGAAGTTGCATCCAGCACTAATACTCATATCTCTGTAACAAGAACTTCAATCATTTGGCCATACTTAGCCATAGGGGAGATTGGGAACTGTAGTGTTTATTTCAGATAGCCAAGTATTCAGCTACACAAAGACAGGAGGATGGATGCTGTGGGGAAAGTAGCAACCCTTCCATAATACCAGTCTCATAAGACTGATGGAGAATTGAATAAGAGTACATAGTACAGATATTAGTATAACAGGAAAAGTACATTAAAGTATGATTTTATTACTATGCTCTCACTCCATATCAAGCCCAGAAGAGTCACAGAATTAACAAACATATGCTCAGTCCAAATACTGTTCATTTGATACATTCTAATGCTGCTAAAAGATAAAACAATTACTTTCTTAGGTCCTCAGATTTGGGGTGGTTTTAGATACTTTATCTTCATAAGGGCACATAAAAGGAAAAAAAAAACTTGCATTATTTAAGCTCCATGAAAAATTGTTATGCTGAGTTAAGGGAAATGTGCTGAGCAAAATGCATATAAGTTTTTATTGGTCCCCAAAGACCTAAGTTAGTTGAGGCATTTGGTGAATTCTAAATACATCTCATCCCTAATTCGAAATGAACATTCAATGACATTCAAAATGGTTTCGTGAGACTAATGAAAGGGAGCCCTCTGATTAAAATCTGTGATTTTAATGAAGACGTGTGTGGGTCAAAAACAAACATCAACAAAATTTTAAAGATAAAATTTTAAAAATCTAAGTAGATCTGCATTCATTAATTTGAGCCAATTAGGTTGACATCAGTCTGTTTAATTATCTATTCAGGCAGATTTCCTAATTAATTTTTAATGCTAAGGTGACTTCTCCTAGCTACCCTAATGTCTGTAGGTTATTCATCAACCTTCTGTATGGTGTGCACGCAGAATGCGGAGTAAGTTAACATTAGCCTAATTTACACAGAGTTAAAAAGGAAAACTTTGAAGCTATGGATCCACATTGGAGGAGGAAAGGGACCCTGGACTACGGGTTAGCAGACCTGGGTTCTGATCTGTTGCTGACTTTTCTGTAAAACCCTGTAACAGTCTCTTAACTTCTGTTGGTTCAATTGCCTCCTATGTAAAATAAACAAATCCAACCGGAAGTTTATTCAGCATTCAATTTCTATGATTTTCTAAGAATCAAATAATTTGAGTTACATGTGTCACCGCTCCCTCCACCATTCAAGTAAAACCCACAACACTGTCATGTCCTACAATGTCTTTTCCCCTATATATCTGGGGTCCTTCTCTTTTATCCTAAACACACTGTTTTCCCTTTCTCATACAAGGGAATCAGTGTACCTTCCTTCCAAGTTTATTTGAATATATTCCTTATGTGTAAATTTCCAATGGAATCTTTTACACTTTAAGGATTGAGTGTAGATGACCTCCTTGGCAGATATTGAGGTCCTTGTAGAGGCATGAATGAGCCCTTTGCTGGGAAGAAGGTCCATAGCCATTCTTTCTCAATGGGATATCCATAGAATCTAAAAACCTTAAGAATTCCTGAAAAAGAGCCCAGGCAAATGGAAGAACAAAAGGCAGCTGCACTCTGACAGAAATGGGAACAAAGACTATGAAAAATTCAAAGAGAATAAGTTTCCATTATTTGGAAGCAGGAAGAACCCAGTGAGTTAGAAGGCTTGAAATCCATGACTTTAGAAAGAAGCTTTGGTTTCCTCCAAAATGCAGCTAAGGAAGCAGAAGTTAAACAAACGTTTTGCAAAGGAGACTCCAAAAGGCAAAGTCCATCCAGTCCCTAGTCTGGAGGGAAAAAAAAAAATCAATGCTCTTTCTGAACAGAGGCCTAGGAGGTTAGAAAGAAGTTCAGATTTCTGTAGTTAAATCTTTGCACGTGGTTGAAAAAGCTAAATTCTGTTTCAATAACAAACAAGTAAAAACACTGTTTCCAAAGAGTGATTTCTATTGTATTGAGAACAAAGGGAGAAAAAGCAGGTTACTAAAGGGGAAGAAAGGTGTGAACTTAAGTCTGACTAAAAAGGAAAAGGAATGGAATGCATTTTCTGAGGCTGTTTCAATGAAAGTTCTGAGATGAAATTTAGAGGATTTCGACTAAGTCTTAGAATTTTGGCTGCTGAAACCACAAGCCCCAGATGACAGCTGCTCTGTTGGGTGCCAGGCAAACTGCCTCCAGGCAGCAAATGGGCTGGAGTCACCTGCTTTATTCCCCCAGGAAAGTACTTGAGATGGGGCGGGGGTAAGGATGGGGGGAAGGGAAGAGAAAGCACTGTAGAGCAAGTGGGTTCCCAGAAAAACTGGAACAGAGAGCCTGTAGCCTTCTATAACAAAATTACAAAATGTTTTGATACAAATTACCTGGCCGGTGTTTGTAGTTCAGGCTGGCCTGCACATCTGCCAGCACTGACAAAACCGGGTGAAACCCAAAGCCTGTTTTTCAGCATAATTTACAATTTTAAGCACAAGAAAACATTCTTCACAAAATAGGATTCTGGCCCTTGAAAATTTCAGACTCCAGGCTCTCCTGCCTGGGAAATAACACCTGGGATACAACATCCAATAGCTCATTTGCAATCGACTACAATAAATGTTTTAAGACTCAGGAGAAGCACAATGCATGTATGTTCAAAACGGGGCACAATGTCTAACGATTCTGCTCTAACATCAATTTTTTCTCTGAAGCAAATACAGTGTTTCTAAAACTTTCCTGACCAAGGTAATAGCTAGTAAGGAGGGCCTACGTTTTTTGTTGTTTGTTTGTTATTAGAAAAAATCATGTTAAATTCTAAATTCCTCTTTAAACAGGATTATCAAATCAGCAGAGGAATAAAATGTACTAAGCAATTTGGCCACCCAAGTGACATGATATAGAAGCCCATTTTGTAACATGAGTATTCAGTGTGGCACAAAACTTTCCTTATCATATTATTTCATCCTGCTTATCTCGTGTTCTTTCCCAGCAGGCACTAGCTTGTGTGGGGTTTCCAGCATTTTCTAGGGCTTGCTGCTCTCCGGCCTCCCATCTCTCACCTCACTCATAAAGTCCAAAGAAGATTTTCTACTTGGGTCTAATACACGAAAAGAAGGCAAGATATTTCATTTAACAAACACATACAGAAATTTCTTTTTTTTTAAAAAAATATTTATTTATTTTGAGAGAGAGAGAGAGAGTGCATAGGAGGGGCAAAGAGAAAGGGAGAGAATCCCAAGCAGGCTCCATGCTCTCAGCACAGAGCCATCTCACAAACCGTGAGATCATGACCTGAGCTGACTTTCAACCAACTGAACCACCCAGGTGCCCCGTACAGAATTTTCTGTGTGTCAGCCATAAACATTATCACAGCACTTTACAAACATTAACCCATTTGATGCTTGAAATACCTCTGAGTTAGATTCTATTTCACCTCTATTTTACAGATGAGGATACTTATCATATAGCTAGAAAGAAGTAGATCCAGGATTTAAGTGAGTTTGTGAAATTAAACACTATCCCATGCTAGCTTATGTAGTATTACAAAGGGGAATGAAGCAGAATTATCAAATAATACTAAGTACTTATATGTAAGCATTTATTAAAAATGGAGATTTAAAAAAGTTAATAAATGTAGATTTTTTAAATGGAAGAAGGTTCCATGTTCATGTGGACAGGTTTTCATCATGGGTTTCTAAAATTACAGTTTAATTATAGTTTATGAAGCTCTATGGTATATGATATATACCATATATGTATATTATCTATAGTATATATATATATAACATATATATATAGTGTTACTCAACTGATATAAAGATAATCACCAGTCAAGTCTGTATATATCTTTAAATCATCAATTATATTTATTTCTCTGATTATAAAAGTAATAAATGTTCAGATATGGAAGATTCAGAAAAGCACATGGCAAAAAATAAAAATCACTCCTAATCCCACAATCTAGAAATCATCATCACTGATATTTGTATGGAGTGTCGTCTTCTTTCTATATGTATATTCATTGATTGGTATATTGACTCAGCACTTATTAGATGGGTTCTTTGTGCCAAAGTGAGACCTTATTCAAAGAAAAATAAGTCATACTTTTTTTCAGTGTGTACTATATATTCTCTAAGAGTTGTAAAAGTCATAAAACCAATACATTAAGATTATAAAAGTATTTTTAGAGTATAAATAAATTCCCAGTGATACATATGCTAGAGCATTCTTAGAAATCCAAATATTCAGTCTAATGGAAGTCACAATGGTGAAAGTTTTCAAAAGATGATTTTGTTGTTATATTTTCTGCATTGCCCAAAAGCAGTTTTTGCATCAGTAGGATGAAAACAGTGCTTACTTTTGAACTTGTGCGCAAAGTAATTGATATGACACATCCATTAATTCATGATTATTTTCTTAGTGAATTGGTTCTAAAGCTTCTCAAAGATAGGAAGGCACAAGACAACTAAAAAGAAATCTTGATTTATGACTGTTCTGATACCGTGTAGCATTTGTAAAGTAAACTGCATCCATAAAGCATGTTATAATTACTAATCACAAAACACCTTGCTGAGCTAGGAGCAGAAGAATTCTTTCATACAGGAGGAAAATTAACACTATAAATCAACATACTAGTTTGAAAATTTGCATGGTTACATGCTATGATTTCCAGCATCACAAGAGGCTGAAGGAAATCCTCAATTGAGAGTAGGCTCCTGGCGATGGTAGCTACTTTGTCACAGCTTCGAAGTCAGCTTCCTCTTGACGGTTCCAGTAATTCTGCCATAGGGATTGTCTGATGGTAGCAAGACCTGTAGAAAAGCCACATGGCAACTTCAGAAGCATTAAAATAGACCCCTTCTGTTTTCTATGAATCAATATTAAATCAAAACCAAAACAACAACTCACTAAATAGGAAAACATATATGCACTAAAGTCAAGTTATTTGAAGCAGGGCAGTGCTTTATTTTTCTGGCAATAGTGGAGGGATGAGTTGATTGTCCAGAAAATTTAAGAGTGTTTGAAAGATTTTAATCACTGGGATATAAATGTTTCTCAAATGCATTGTTTGTTTCTTTCTTTCTCTCCTCCTATCTCTGCTTTTTAAACAGAATGTGGTGAACATAATTTGGCGTTTGCTTGAGAATTCACTTTGAACACCTATCAATGTCCAATGCGATCATACCACGCCTTCAGGAACATCTGGGGTCCTCAGGGCTGTTAGCCCAATACTAAGTGGTTTCAGACAGCTGTAAATTTAGAGATGTTCTGTCTTCCCACCCTGTCATTTGTCACTTCTCTGCTGTTGTCAGTGCGTCCTGACTCCCTGCTTCTCATGTGTTGCCCTCACTCTGTACACGCCTGCTGGCTGAGGGCCTGAGAGCAGCTCCCACCCCCCAACCCCAAAGCACAGACACAGAGTCAGGACAACTTGTGTGGCTTCTCAGGTGCCTTCACGCGGACCCCTGGCCCCAAGGATCTGGGCCTTCCCGTCTCGGGGCCCCCACGCAGGCTTCGGGTGGGAGCTGAGGAAGCTGCAAGTCTGACTTCTTGGATATAGGGACACACCTGGCAAGCCCTGCGACACGTCTTTGAGCTGGGATCAGTGCAGGTCACAGGTGTTTGGGGGCCCTGAGGAGACCTCATTTCTTTGCTGGTTCCTCAGCTGAGCACTGCTCCAGTCATGAGCTTGACCCTTTTCTGTTTGGGGCCCATTTGTTTTACCTTTGGTCGACATGGCCAAGATTACTTTCAGGTCCCTCTCTTGCCCTTTAGAAGGTAATGATTTTAAAGGGCTTTAATTCTAATTAATGGTATTCTGGTAATCGACATCCTTTCCTTCCAGTGACATAAACGATGCTGCCTCCCTGTTCAGTTGAATGAACAGCACCTGGGATCAATGTTGCTCTCGTCTGTGATTCACAGTTCTCTAGAAGCTATCCCAGGCGCCTAAGCCTTTGTTTCCCAGTGCTGTTCCCCAGCCTCCACCTACAGCTGTGGTAGCACAGCCCGATGGAGCCCATTAACATAATTTGCAGGACAGAAACAGGAATAGAGAAATCCTACCATTCTGAAAATGGCTCAAGAGGGGAAGGACAGTTCCAATCTCCCAGGACACACTACTTCAGGCTGTCTAGTCAGACACACTTGGTTTAACCTTCTGCCATGGCTTAAAACAAGTCAGGGTGTTTTTCCAAAACAAGGTTTCCTTCCAAAAAGTGCATTTCCTCGTCTGTCTTTCTTTCTTTCTCTCCTTCCTTCCTTCCCTCCCTCTTTCTTTCTTTCTTTCTTTCTTTCTTTCTTTCTTTCTTTCTTTCTTTCTTTCTTTCTTTCTTTCTTTCTTTCTTTCTTCCTTTCTTTCTGTTTATTTATTTTTGAAAGAGAGAGCATGCGAGTGAGGTAGGGGCAGAGAAGGAATCCCAAGCAAGCTCCATGCCATCAGTGCAGAGCTTCACAAACCATGAGACCTGAGACAAAATCAAGGGTCAGATGTGTAACGACTGAGCCACCCAGGCACCCCCTCATCTTGCTTTCTATAATTACAGTTGGAAACAGTCTTTCTTTCTTTCTGTTTACATTTTCTGTTTATATGCTACTTAAATTGACTACTTAGTCAAAAGTTAAAGATGATGAAAGAAAAGGGAAATAGAATCTTTTTTTTTCTCTTTATTGCCTCATGATGGAAGAATAACAAAGCTGTGACCCTGTGTGGCACTTTTCGAAGTACATCTCCGAGCTGTCTCCTCTGGCACACTCTGTTCTTTCTTTGTCTTTTAATCTCTCTAGCTTCCAACCCTCCTCCATAATCATTCATCCACCTCTAAAGCATTCCAGCCCCAGGTTTTGAAAGGCCCCGAATCTAAGAGGACTCTAATCAGTGGCAACTATAAATATTCCAAAAGCAACAGCTGTTAAGAGTTTTGGTTGGTGATATTATCATCCCAATTTTAAAAAGACAGGTAAGGGTGCAGGGGTAGGAGGGTAGGCGTTCTTTAAATATTTTTAAAGTTCTCTTACCTCTTCTTTGTTGATCAATCCCATTTTGGACATGTCAATATTAAAGTAGTGAATGTTTGGCAGGCTGATTTCCATATCTTCTATCTGGAATCCAAAGTAATATGGATCACATTGGGCAACTGTGAATCTATCTCTCTGTCACTCCTCCCCAGTAACCCAACTGCCTGTGAGTCCCTTACTCAAGTTCCACCTCCGTCTCTGAGACACTTTCTGATGTTCCTCTACTGCGTGACACAATTGTCTCCTGCTAGTCCCATTATTAGATGGTGGACGCATTCTTCCCCCCTCCAAGTACAAAATCGGTTTTCAGAAAAGTAAGCGTTCCTTGGGTCAGAAAACAGTGAGAACTTCAGTATATTAACTGGCCTCCTGGTGGTGGCCAGTCAACCTCCTAAATTCTTCCTCAGTCTGTTTCCTCCTCTCTAGCCTATCCTGAACATTTACAGACCCTGGGGTAAAAGTACAATTGGAGGCCCACATGCCAGATGTTTAAAGTTATGAATCAGGCAAGCAACATTTTGGTTTTTTTGCAGGGAGGGGGCAGAGGGAGAGGGAGAGGATCCCAAGCGGGCTCTGCACTGTTCGTGCAGAGCTCTATGTGGGGCTCAAACTCATGAACCATGAGATCATGACCTAAGCCACAACCAGGAGTCTGGCCTTTAACCAACTGAGCCACCCAAACGCCCCCAAGCAAGAAATTTTTAAGTGAAATATGTTCTATCCTTCTTACTTGACAAATATACCTTCATAACAGCCTGGAAAGCCAGAACCTAATTGAAATTTCTCTGACTGCTTGCAATGTAGGATGTTGTAGTGTGGGAAGAGCCAGACCCCAGCCCCTGGCCCATCCCTTCCTCTCTCTTGGCCTCATGTGGACATGCTAGCTTGAGTGTTTGTAAGCAGTTTCCACCCCCTTGCCCACTCGCAGGCCCAAGGGTATACACACTGATGGCATGATCTGCCTCCGGAGGGTGGATCTGGGGAAGAGGATTGCACAGGTTCTAAAAGTGGTCTCAGGGTTCTTTGGGCAGTTAATTCTGGGGTGCAGGTATCCAGAGAAACTGTAAAGGGATGTGTGCCCCTGTGAAGGATTTGTTGCCTTGGCCCCACTGACTCTTCATCCAGTGGAGAAAGGATAGCCAGAAAACATCCTGGAAAGTTCCACGTCATGGCAGGATCCCTCTTGCCCATGTCTGAGACTGATACTCTTTTTCTCCACCCATCATGGCTTTACTTACTTCAGACCCTCTTTGCCAGATTTCTGCCTCCCAATAGCCTCCCTGCAGGTCTCCTCATCTGTGGTCTGCTGTCCTTTTAATTTACCACCCTTCTTTTAAAGTGATCTTTCTAGAGTGCAAATTCAGTAGTGCTACACCTTGGTTAAACCCCTCCGTGGCTCCTAAGAGCTTTGAAAATAAAATACAGACTATAAACAAACTCACAAAGATCCTCCTGGTCTGATTTCTGCCTCATCCTTAGGCACATGGAAAGATGTTCATTCCTGGCACTTCACATATGCCAAAACCTCAACAGCAAATGATTATTCCATGCTGCTCCTGTCTTATACCTACCATGCTCCCTCACCCTTGAGTGTGAACTCAGATAACCAACCCCTACTTGACCCTTAAGACTCAACTCAAACACCTCTCCCTCCATAAAGCCTGGCTGGCCCAATCTTCCATACCTGAGTTAGGTGCCTTTCTCTGTATTTCTATAATGCTTTATGCTTTACTGGATCGTTAGTTTACTTATTGTCTTCTTTTACCAAATGATGAACCCTTTAAGGGTAGGCACACTAATTTATCTTTGTATTCTTCATGTGCTGACAGAGATATAATAACTACTCAATAACATCAGATGGATGGATGAATGGAATCTGTCTGCATCTATCCTTCATTCTCCGGCTATCCTGAAACATAGACTCTTGGCCGAATTATCCCTCCTTCAAGGCATTAGAGTCCTGATATGAGGCTTAAATTGTGGCAGGTTGTAAGGACCCAAAGAATTTTCGACTAACTAAAGAACTACAGCAATGGCCCATGTTTTCAGGTTGGACAGATTTTTCCATTTTTTGCTCTCTTCTCACTTGCTATAACAAGCTTTTGAACAACAACAGATGTCATTTTTCATGTGTCTTCCACTGTCTTATTTTAACTCTCAACTCTTCTGTCAGAGCTGACAGGAGACACAACAAGTTCTCTCAGTCTTCAGAATGGCAAGTGACAAAACATACCTCAGGAACCCGGCTCAAAGAGTGCACCTGGATGTCATAGAGGGTCTTCTGGACAGAGGGCGAGTACTCGCCTTTGTCATAGGGTCCAGCAAATTTCTCCAGGACAATATCCCGAACAGTATCCCTAAAACACAGAAAAAACAACTAAGGACTCATAGGGTGGCCTTTTAGGAGTGCATTATAAAGCTAAGAAGCGGTGACCTTCTCTCCCTGCAGTAAACAATTTTATTGCTGGTTTTGGAAGAGATTAATATCGGAGCACCTGGGTGGCTCAGTCAGTTAAGCGGCCGACTTCGGCTCGGGTCATGATCTCGCGGTCCGTGAGTTCGAGCCCCGCGTCGGGCTCTGTGCTGACAGCTCAGAGCCTGGAGCCTGTTTCAGATTCTGTGTCTCCCTCTCTCTCTGACCCTCCCCCGTTCATGCTCTGTCTCTCTCTGTCTCAAAAATAAATAAACGTTAAAAATTTTTTTTAAAAAAAGAAGAGATTAATATCTGGTAATGCCCCCTAAAAAACACCTCACTTCCCCTTTTTTTTACCCACACATGTGCGCGCGTGCACACACACACACACACACACACACACACACCCTATTCAACAAAGGTATTGAGTGTCACTAGGCTATCTTCATCATCTGGAACTAGGGCCCACTGGGCATTCCAGGGTAAATCTCCATCACATTTGATGAACTTATGAAGAGGACCTCCAAGTACTCCAACCCTCTTACTGCTCAGACTGGCCAGTTCCTTGAATTATTATGTTTTTAGGGGTTTTGTTCTGTGCCAGGCTCTGTGCTTTGGGTTTTATATGATTGCTTCATTGAATTCTCTCAATATCCTGAGGCAGGTGCTATTATTATCCCCAGTTTAGACGTGAGGAATCTTGAAAGTTATATGATCCACACTAAGTTCCTTTCCTGAGTGGGTGGCCCAACTAAGACCCTGACTCTGCCATGTTCAATTTTGTGCTCTAACAGAAATACATCAGCCTGCTGCCAATGGGGAACACGCGGGAAAAAGAAGATTGAGGTGAAGTTCTCTGTAAGTATTTTCAGACACATCACATAATAAAAGGAGTAGAGCAGAACTATACCACTGGGAAGAAGCTACCAGGGGGCAGATACTAGCTCATCAGAAAGTAGCAGTTTCTAGCAATGAGAACTTCAGCAGAGGAATGAGATGCCTGGTCAAAAAGCAAACTCAGAGTCCAGAGGCCTAATTCCTGCTTGCCAAGGATATTATAATGATAGGCGTACCTTTATGTTGTTAACACATTTATCATTTATAAACTGCTTTTGTAAACATCATCTCATTTCGAGTTTAGCCTAGAGTGACCAACTGTCCCAGTTTGCCTACGAATCAAAGGGTTTTCCAGGGCGTGGGACTTTTCAGTGTTAAAATCAGAAAAGCCCTTGAAAAATTGGATGCGTTGGTCACCCTCATTTAGCCCTCTCTGTATCTACCGTGAGGTAGTAAAGCCGAATATCATTATCCTCACCTGATATGGTGGTTCTTAAAGTGTGGTTCCTGGTCCAGCAGCAGCAGCAGCAGCTGGGAGTTTATTAGAGGTGCAAGTTCTCAGGCCCCACCCCAGGCCTACAGAATCAGAACCTCTGGAGTTATGTCCAGTAATCTGCCTTCTACTAAGCCCCCCAGGGAATTCCGACACACAGTAAATGTTTGAGAAATACTGATATAATCGATGAAAAACCAAAAGGTCAGGGAATTTAGGTGGTCCATTCAAGGTCATTTTAGCTAATAGCAGCTAAGATTTCCACGTAGGTTTAGTAACGGGAAGAGAGCATAGCCAGCGCCAGGCCTTAGCACACACTCCTACCAGGTAGTATCAAAGTCCACGTCTCTGTACTGATGATAGCGCCACTTGCAGTACACTTGGGTGGCAAAACACCTGTCCTTCACCTCGGGGAGGGTGGTGAACTGGTCCTTGATGAATCCTTCAAATCCAGATTGGGTCGTTTTCAAGACCTTGAGGTCTTTGATTCCAGAATGAATGACTGGAGGTCCTGTTTCAAGTAAAAAGGTAAGAGGCTCTGAGGTCATGGATAAAATAGTGTCTTCTTATTGGACAGCTAGCTCTGAGGATCCTGGTCACTAAACCATGGTGCACTGTTGAACAAAGAGCTACCTCACTACCCATGTTGTCTGTCTCCCTGTCTCCTCTGAAGTTATGAGGGTGGTGTGCCTATCTCTCTATCTGGATTCCACGACTCCCTGCCTTTCTCCTGCCCTGGCAGAACTTAAAGTCAAAGACTAAACCTCTGTCTTGGGTTGAAACCCACAGAAATGAATACCTTCCTTTCAGCTCCAGGTACAAATGACGTCTAGGCCAAATACTTTCTCCTTGTTGGGCTCCACTTCGCTCAATATATAATCATGATGAAATGAGTGAGTAAGCTCCCCCAGAGCAGTTCTTCTGTTTGCTACTCTGACTCCCTTTACAGGATGGGAGAGGGTTAGTCCTCGTGTTGATCATCTACACTGGCTGATGGCTCCAACTATCATCAGATCCTCAGTTTTCTTGTGTTTATGAGCTCACTGAAACCGGAAAACTTCATGAATGAGTAGCACTGTGGACCTGGCCCAGCCTAAATAGAGACTGGGACGATGAGGCAGTGACCCACCCATAGGGCGTAGATATGCCTAGGGGAATACCCATAAAGGCTTTTGGTTTTTGGCTGAAGGAGAAGGAAAGTTGGTTCATAGAGACCTGGGGGAAAGAGGGCAGAGTTGGCAAAAATAGAGGGGATGATATGGTTCTCCTGCAGTCCTTGACATCACCCCAGGTGGCAAATGGGGAAGGTGGAGGGGTGATAGGCATAATCTGAAGAAGATATTTACTTGTCTGTCAGGCAGTTCTCGCTCGGGGCCCAGGTGACAGATGGGGGAGAGAGTGAGGGGAAGATTCTCTCTTTTTCTATGTGAAACACACTCTGGCAGTTTGGTGAAGCCTGGCTAGAACAGGGCATCGGGTGTCATACTGGGAAGACCCAGGGTAGAATGTTCTATAGAGAGCATCATTCTTCACAAAGAGCAGGGATAACTAGCACAGCCAGTGCTGAGCAGAGCCAGTGAAGCAGTTTGCACCCATTGGGGTGCAAACGTCTCCCTGAACACGTGTGAAACAGACCTCCCGACTGTGAGGAAGTGGGAGAATTTGGCTGGGGAGACCCAGCAGTTTGGTGGTGAGAGAACTATAAGGCCAGGAAAATTCAAGAATTAACATCACCATTCCCTTATTTGTATGTGCAGGCTGATGAGGCTGGAGGTTCAAGGAATGCTTGGGTACAAACCACCAGTAGCATAGTGCCATGACAGGATGACTAAAGTCATCTCTTTACAGCTTTGAAGTTAGTCCTGATTAAGATCTATCCTTCTTGGCCTGTTCAGTATATAACTCAAGGGCCAGAGGCATCAGGCATCTATGTTGTACATGGTCTTAGTTGAAGAACAAGAATATAACTCATGATCCTCAATTAAAATCCAGGGAAGCTCTTAATAATCCAATAGTTTACATCATCTATGTGGCTTCAACTGCTGTGGCTAACTCAGGAGCTGTGGAGTTTTGTAAGTAGGTAAACAATGACCATATTTTGATATTTTCCCCGCCACAAGTGTACATCTACCAAAGAGAGCAATGGCCAGTGGTTTGTAGCAGATCTGCTGATTAAATAAGGTGTTCTGATCAGAGTGCTCCAGGATAATGTGTCAACTAAAATGGTATTTAACATTTTGAAGTCCTCTTTGGAAACTATATCTGAAGAAGGACCAAGAGAGACACCAGCAACGCCTAATGCTTTAAGTTGCCTTGGTTTATTGGATTCTGGATGTGTGAAGACATGATGCTGCAAAATCAGCATTTCTAAATGCTGTATAGAGCTGACCCAAGTGAGGCTAAGCTTAAAATACAAGAGAATTGCAGAAGGAATCAATAAGTGTCTATTGAATGAATGAGTGAATGCATGCGACAAGATTGGTTCACATCAAAGAATCAGTATTTCACAGCTTAGTCTCTTTTTCTTTTAGACAGTTCTCCTCCACTAATCTTTAGCATTTCCCTTCTTGATCAGCCCCACCCAAATATAATACACAGCATGGCAGGGGAAGGGAAGGACATCAACATTAGCTGAAGACATCCTGATGATCAGCATGCATTTAGTTGCTGCCTTTTTCAATCATTATCTTACTTAATCCTCAAATTCTATTAACTATTTTTTTAATGTTTGTTTATTTATTTTGAGAGAGGGGGGAGGGGCAGAGAGAGAGGGAAACAGAGAATCCCAAGCAGCCTCTGCAGGGCTCAAACTCATGAACTGCGAGATCATGACCTGAGCCCAAATCAAGAGCCGGCTGCTTAACCAACTGGGCAACCCAGGCGCCCCTCTATTAAATAGTCTTATATAGGAGACTTTCAACCATGTGCCCATAGTCACATGGCTAGAAACTGGCAGGAGTGGAATTTGAACTCAGCACTTCATTATCTCCTCCTTTTTGGATACTTCCCCATCCCCATGATGTTTTCTCCTTCCTTTAACTCTGTCTTCCCATTTCTTTACAGTTTCTTTCCAGGAGACAAGAAGGTTGCCATCTTCCCTTCCATAGTATTTTTTGAGAGCCTCAGACAGAGCCCCCAGCCTGAAAAATACCATCTCCACTAACCTGAAATGGAAACCGAAGCATCATTTTTAGAAATGGTCCCTAGGTGTCTTAAAAACTTTTTATTCCTTGAACATTTCCTATTAAAATGCGAAGACCCCATAAAGGAGTGACTTCTGAAGACTTTATAAACTAATATAATCTATTTCCAACAGTAATCCCTTCTAGAAAAAAAACCCTATAGAAATGAAATAAGGAGTTTGCAATATGGAATGGGGTTAGAACAAGCAGGGTTCGTGGAGGGGGAATAAAGAGAAAGTGAATGAGAACCAGAAGCAAATTTTACCTATTTCATTGTTTCCTACATAGCACTATATTGTCATCAGCATCCACATAAGCCAATAAGACTTTGGCTCCTCCAATGGTCTTAATCATAAAAGGATTTCTGGATGCATTGATGCACAGTGGTTGAGACCACAGCCTTGCAACTCAAGATTTCCTGAATTCGAATCTCAGTGTTCTCAGGGCCTCTCCTCCCCTATTTTATGAGCACTATTCCCCTCAGAACATTACTTAACCCCTCTTTACCTTGAGTTTCTCATCTTGCAAACAGAGATGATCACCAATTTGATAGATGTCGGAGATAACGTCCATGAAGGACTTAGGAAAATGGCTGCCCCACAGAAAATCCTTTATAAAAGTTATGACCATGAGGTTGTGATAATTGACTTTTTCATATCAACTTTAACTACCCGTGAATATTTCTCATGTTTCACAAAGGCTCATTGGGTTCTGCAAACCACTTCTGACCTGCCGTCTCTATCCACCTCCAGCTCTGGGATGAGACTTATTGACCTCTGGGGAGTGTCAGTTCTGCTAGGCAACTTTTTAAATGTCTATTTTCTTGCTAGCATCTGAAAATGAAGAAAGAAGTTGCATTTTTATTTTTTAACGTTTATTTATTTTTAAGACAGAGAGAGAGAAACAGAGCATGAATGGGGGAGGGTCAGAGAGACAGAGGGAGACACAGAATCCGAAACAGGCTCCAGGCTCTGAGCTGTCAGCACAGAGCCCGACGCGGGGCTCGAACTCACGGACCGCGGGATCATGACCCTAGCCGAAGTTGGCCGCTTAACCGACTGAGCCACCCAGGCGCCCCAGAAGTTGCATTTTTAAATGTGTGTTGGCCTCAGTTTCACATAGAATAAAATGTTTTATGCTCCCAACGACAATTAACTATGGCCACAGTTTGGGCAGAACA